GAGATGGAAGATAATAGGATGCAAACATTCAGATGTTATGGCTGTGAGACGGGGAGGGAGAAAGGAATGACCCAGAGTTCGCTATCAGTCAACACGCATTTCCCGAATCATCCTTTTCTTTCACACACACACACTGTTTCAGCTTCATACATTACACACACACACGCGTGTGCACACACTCTCACAAACACACCATTTAGGTTGTCTTCTGCTAAATGCTGGCTTCATAGGGAAATCGAACATGTCTTTAGGGAGGGCAGGAAGAAACACAGACAAAGTATTTTATAGTCTCTATAATAAATGCAAATAAATCAATACAAACAAAACTTGGCTTTAGCAAACTGTACATACATAAATATCTTTTGTTTTTACTATAACATTCAACTTTTTTTCACATAAAGCCTTTGATGATCTAATTTATTACATCCAGTCACTCTTTTACTTTTTTAAAAAAAAAGTGCCTTTTAGATTTACAGCTTGTGCTTCTAAAGCAAAGGTGAGATCATCATGCCCCAAAGGAAAACAAGGTAAAAAGGAAGCTGTCAGATAAGCTCTTAAAAACTGTATGTTACAGGTTCTGAATCTCTTTAGCACTGGTTGGTTGGGAGATTGTTCCTTGTGGACATGGCGCACAAGGATGTTGTTCTTTGAATGGATGGAGAGCACCATTCTCGGGGTGCTTGGGCGTCCTCACTCTCCTCAGTCTGAGCTCAGCTCAGGATGTCAAGCCCTTTCTTCCAACCCCATCATCCATTTGCTCTCCTCCTGCCATTGTCTAGCTTCCATGTCCAAAGCCACAGTGAGCTCAGACAGGGTGTGGAGGAGAAGGAAGCTGCCACACCGAGGGCCTGCCCGGGCTGCGCGGCCTTGTCTTGCTATCTGCGGTCAGCTTTTGGCCAAATCTGCTCCTGTTGCCAAGGCTGCTGTGGCTGGCAGCAGTAGTTCAGAGCGGAGGGGGGCCATTGGTGTATCTGAGCATGGGGTGGAATGATCTGGCAAAATTATTGGAAAGGGCACAACTGTAGTCCTCCTCTGACATCGGAACCAGGCAGGCGAGCCCGATGAGGAGCAGCAGGAGGAGCTGGAGAGGAAGGGCAGCTCGGAGCACTCTGCACAGGAAGGCTCGGCCGGAGCGAGCTGGCCGAGGCTCAGAAGGGGAGGAATCGGAGCCACCTCTTCTGGACCTGAGAGAAGAATATGGCATAAGTCATTCAAATACCTCAAGTGTTGGATGGCAGCTACTCTTCTTTTCCTCCCCTTTCTGGAAGCTAAAGGACCAGGCCAGACTCAACCCAACCTGGCAGTAAACTGCCAGCTTCTGCAATAAGGCCTGGTCTTCTCCCACCACCACAGGAAGAGTTATTTGGAAACTGTACTGATGAAAATCAGCATTTAACTTGGTTCAAATTCCATCCTGCAATTTGGTAAAATGCTTTCCATCAACAAAGATAACTACCCTACATACTTTCTGTCAGCAATAAGTCAGTGGATCCAGGAAAGTTAAAATGGAGAATGCTTTTGGTTTAAGAATATCAGCAGTACTATGAGGCAACATGGTTGCATCCCAGCTAGTCATCTGGATGAGCTAACACCCAGGTAATAAGAATAGAGAACAGCGCTGTCATTTTGCACAGACCCATAAAGCTTGGTCTTAGAACAGACCCTGGTTTCATCTTGCACTGGATCAGCATCTGGTCCTGACATTAGTGGGTTCTAAAGCTCCGGCAAAAAGAAGGCACTGTTGCCAGCCACAGAACACTGCTGCTGAGTGGTGCAGGTTCGAGGCTGGCCCTACCCATCACTAACTCTGTGACTTTGGGAAACCAAACCCAAATTTTCTAGGGAGCCATGTGGTCATCTGGAAGGCTCCCCTTACACTCAAAGTTCCTCAAGTTTTCTCTCCACTTTTATCTTCCTATGGACCTTTAACAGTGCATTAGATATGAGGCAAGAATTTCAGAAGTGGTAGGTAAGACAGCCTGTGATATATTGATGTGTAAAGTAAATTCAGGGTAGGGTGTCACTACTTTCCTTTTCTGATCACTCATGAATGTTTTGTCCAATTACTAATGGAAAAACGAAGAAATATAATTTACAAGAATCATTTTGTACACACACACACACACATCATGGCAGGTGCACAAAGAATAGCTATACCACGAAGATGCATCCTGTCACACCTACTTTGAATTCCCTAACAGGTTTTAGTATCACTAAGGACAAGGTTGATAAACACAAAACCACTGGAAAACAAGGTAGAAAATGGAATGATGACTTTGGATAATTTCTTGTATGTCAACACTGTTTCCAGTACTTGCTATTTGTTAATGTCTGAAAACAGAAACCAATGCCATCAGTGAGGGTTATGGGTGACACCAGGGAATAGAAATGCTAAAATAAAAAGTAGACATAATCCCTTTAATGAGGAACAAAAGACTCCTCAAGTCTCTTCCTGAGCCACCAAAGAAGTTGGGGAACCAAACAGGATGGTCCAACAGAAGCCTCAAGATGTCTTGCACCACTCTGTGTTTCTAGCACAGTCTTGTAGTATAATGAAAAAACAAAACAGAACAAAAACAAATCATTGGCCTAAATTGGAACCATGTTCTTTTCTGAAATGTACAAGTGATTGCAGTGTAACCTTGAACAACTCCACCTCTCTGTGCAAACCTCATCTTCAGCCCCTTCACATTAGACAAAATGGTTTTCTAGCCAGAAAGTTCCATGTTGTTTACAATTTTATGTCATATTCATTGGTCTGTGTAAACAGTTTACCCAGTAAGAGGCCGCAAGAGTTCAATCACCATCTAGTGGTCAAACTGATTAACTATCCTCATGCAAAGATCAATGAGCTGTTTCTAAGGAAGTAAACAGGAAAAGTTACATATTTTGTAAAAATATAGTAGAGCATAAAACAATCAAGTCCCATATCTATTAATGGAAGGGGGAAATAGAAATGTTTTGAGATAACTAATGATAACAACATTTAATTATAAAATATTACAAAACATAAGTATTGAGATATGGGCTTAGAATTGAATCTATCTCCAAATTTTGTAGCTGAGTCACTATTGACAGTGAACATTCATTCTTCTAATTGCTGGGCAACATACTTGGTCTCTATCTTCGGTTCTCTCAGTCCAGAACTAACCCCGGGAAGAAGTGTGTGCATGCTGTGCTGTCTTCCTTTAACAGCTGATGAAAAGAGGGCTCAAGAGAGGAAGTAACTGGCTCAAGGTCATACAATAGCAAGGGGCAAAATGCAAATGTCCACCCTGGGATTTTAACTCCCTAGACTTGAGCTGCTATAGGTAGGGTAAATGATTGCCCTCAACCTCTTAATTAAAGGAAATGATCTAGCACGAATATAGGGGTTCCAACGTCCTGGCCTCCCACTGAAATGTTCTGTAAGTTGCCACAGGTAGCTCACATGTAGCTGCAAAGAAGATCAACATTGTGTCCAAACTGGAAGTGATTTCCTCATGTCTCAGATAAATGCCTCTAACTATAAGGCCTCACAGCATCACATGGGATCAGTGCTGGAATGTGCAGAAGAGGGCATTCTGTCTGGCACAGAATTTTATCTCTTTGATCTCTGTGCCCTAATATCCTAAAATCATCAGGGCCAGACACCTTATGATTCAATAGTTGCCTAGTGTCTTGAGAACAATGGGCGGGGGTCGGGGGGAGGGCTAAGGGGGTTTACCCAGGAACTATGGACTGGATTTTTCTTCATTATTTCTTTCCCTTGACCTGTAAAGCTGTATTGGCAAACGACACTCACCACTTGTCAGTGGATGAATTATAACAGAAGAACAAGCGAGACCATGTTTCCTCATTATTAAATATTTGAATAAAATGAGGGAGAGTTCTCACTGACTCATTTTCTTAAGGAAGCATTTAAGGAAGCTAGCAAGGGGCAGATTTAGGCACAGAGTTGGCATTGCAATCAGACTGAAGTGCTGAAGAATTGTCTGTCTGTCCATCATTACTTACTTTGAACAATGAGCCAAAGATCAAGATGGAAACAAGGGCCCACATCCTGACTAGCCTGTGACCGAGAATAACTACAAAGGTCACCAATCTGGAAATGGCTCATGTGGGCTCATGTGAGGGAGTCTGTTAAAGGACATGGGACACTGAGCAGCATCAGAGCATTCCTTATTAAAATTTAATTAGTGCATGGCTACTCCTGTTGAAGATTGCTAACCTGGGAGAAGTAATGGGCTGAGATAGGGACAAAGGACGCCAAGTGCTTGGCCATCTTCCATGCACTTCACCTCCCTTCCATGCACTACCCAATCTACCTCTAGTGACAAATGTCACCCCCTGAGGGCAATTGCTAGGATTTCACCATGCCAGAAGTAGCCTCTTCTTTGGCACAAACTTATTCTAGAACTTTCAATATACTATCTGCTGTCCTAAGAACACCTAGGGTTCTGAAGCTTTGGGCAATCTGATAAGGGAAAGAACAAAGACGACACACTTCCTGATCATACACTTTATTTTCTCCACTGCCCTTATGATGAGATAAACAGATGCCAGTGGGGACCGTATTTATGAAGGAACAATTAAATTGTGAAATTATTCCAAGACCTAATCAATAGAGATTTTTCAGAAAAGTCTGTCTTGCACAGATGTGCTATTTTCTACAAGTAAATATTGATTTTTCTCCTCCACACTCATTCAGATTTTGGGAAATACTAAATAATACTGATAGGGTACTAAGAGGAATTTACAGTGAGGAAATTCCTGGGTTGTCCAGGATGTAGCCTGCTCTTGTGTGAGTTACCCTTGATACCTAGAGCCTTCCCCAGATACACATATCCAAAGATGAGCTCTTGGTACTCATGGAAGATTCCAGTCTCCTCTTCCTCAGCTGAATATTCTGGCTGGTCCTAAACTAGCTCTGGCAACCACCTACTGGCCTGGAACTATCATTTGAAGTATCTCAAAGACCAAGAGGCCTTGGTTATTATGAAGCGGCTAACAAGGTAATCAGCAGAGGAGTAAGGTCGATCTGGGTTCAAATTCTAAACCTCATGCCTCTCCCTGCCTGTGTCTTGCCTTTCCATTGGGGGTCTAGCCATGGCATGGGTGTTACATGAGGAGACACATATACAATGCTCAGCATGAAATGTTAACTAAATGCCAGCAGCTTGTCCTTACTGTCTACCTGTGTCATTAAAGCAAGCATGCATTGACTCACACCCTTGAGGCTTGTCTAGATCCAGTCTTTCCTCCAAGGGAAATATTCCTGATGTACTAAGAGGGCTTTTAAAGATGTGATCTATTTCCCAACATGTCTGACTTGTTGCCTGGAAACACAGGAATGCACACCTCAAAATATTAATGCACACTCGTGGTGGGGGGTCTTTCCCTGAGCTGTGACCGTCCCAGTGCCAGCCAGCTCTGCTTTATGCTAAAGCTCTTGAAATGCTTAGAATAAATCGATCCTCAGGGTGGAATATAGTGGCAAAGACTTGAAAAAAAATTCCATAAGAAACAGAAGTGTTTTCAGTAAGGACCCAGGGGTATAGGCAAACAAAAACAAAAATACAATCAGTCTGTGTGTTTGCTTAAATATATTAGGCTACCCTGAACATATTTTAAGTGACGTCCTTTCCTTTCCCTCTCAGAGTTTCAGTCAGTCAGGAGCCACTTCTTCAGTCTTAGTTATCTGTGTAGAGGAATTTTGCATTTTATAATTCAAAACCTTGGAGGGAATATTGGTGACTCCCTTTGCACTACAGAGCAGTTCATTCTTTGCTTGCTTGAAAAACAGTGTGAAATCTTCCTGTCTGTCAACTTCAGTTAATCTACAGTGAAGTTTTGAAGAGTCATTGGCAATCAGGTTTGACATTTTTAAGTCAAAGGTAGAGAAAATAAACTGGGCTATCAACAATAGTGCCTCAGGAAGCTTGCTTCTTAAATAGGTTTTATTTAAAATAATCATGGATGTAGTGAGGAACATTAAGGCAGATGTTTTTCAAATGTTTAGAACTATAAGGAGCCTTGGGAAGCTACTTATAGTTGTTTTAGGGAATCTCTAGAATCTGACACATTGTAAATCTTCTGGTGGCAGGAATCATTTTGTAAGCCCAGGAACTAAACATTCATTGTAGGTGTACAGTAAATACTGGCATGGATTCATTTGTAGGCTTAGAATATTAGAGAAGGACGTAGGCGAGTGACCCACTATCAAACTGAACTATACAGCAGGCAAGCAACAGACATTATTAATAGGTGACTGCAAAAAACAAGAAGAAAAAATATGAAATCTCTCCCTACATACTAGTACCCAGTTTCTTCCAACTTACTCTTTTTCTTTTGTCAGGATGAAAATACTAAAATTTTCCCACTGTGGATTGCTGGGGTCAACAATCTCAACTCTGTGCTCTTACAAAGAGCTTTGAAATTTGCTGGACCAGTGCAAGATCAAACACAAGGTACCCTGGAGTGGCCATGAAGAGGCGCACTGTGACAACCTGGGTAATGGATGAAGCTAATTCTCCCCTAGCAGACTCTGCAGGGTACTGGCAGGGTTCAGTGCCCCCTCCCCCCAAACAGAGATGCCAAGGAGGCAAGAAGAACAAGAAAGTTTAAGGTTTCTGCCAAGGTGTTGGAGGAAGTTAGCCATTCAGGTGAAGATCATTTGTATTCCAGGCACTTCTGAGAAGCAAAGTGGGCACGTTCAGCTGAGCACCCTGGGAGATGTTAATAGACAGCGCTGGGCTGGCAGAGCCGAAGGCGCTTGGTGGGGGCCACAGTGAGCAAATCCCACCTGCAGAGCACAGTTAGGAGCATGTTGAAGCACTTGCGGGCCTAATAAACAATGTCTTTGAAACGTTCAGAAGACCCGGTGGCTGACACACTGGGAGAGCAGAGATGCTGTGCTCGGCAAAGAGAAGGTGGCGCCCCCGGTGGGGTTACATCATGACTGAAGAGCAGTTTCCCTTCTCATCACCATCATGTATACCAACCAATGAAATGCTCTCTGGAACCCTGAGAGGAAGCTGTAGGGATATTCCCCAGTCCTGTGCATGGCACCTCGGCACCTTGAGGGGAGAGGGTAGACAGTGTGGTGCAAAGATTTGTTTCTCATCCACAACTGTCTCTAGAGCTAGGGGGCTGAGTAGACGCCAGAGCCCTTGCGGACACCCATCGGTATCTTTGAAAACCCTTGTGAGTTCTTTCCAGTCATATTTCATTATGGACCACACAAAAACCCCACACAACCATCTTCAAATCAAACCAAAGGAATAACAAGTGTCGTAAAGGGAGGCTTCACGTGAGAAAGCACATCCGAATACATTGTGCATGATTCAGTTCAGCGGGAATGACCAAATACAACTAGCAGTCCCTCTCAGCCCAGCTGGGGGGCCCAAGTGGTCACTCCGGGTTGTTTATGGTGCTGTACTTGTTCACCCCCCCACCTCCTTCCAGGAATTTGGGTTCTTCTTCTGTGGTGATCAGCCCAGACGGGCAACTACTGGACTCGGCGTTAAGAATCAGCAAAGAGGATGGGACTTTCATTGCTGTCAAGTTGTCTAGGGCAACACGAACTGATTAGGGACAGGGAGCACAGACACCACAGCAACGACAGAGAAGGCGAAGCACCTCTACTGCAGAGCGAGGGGCTGGGCAGGTGTGGGCACAGTGTGGGGGGCAGGCTCCCTGGTGCGAGCCTGCAGGTGTCAGGGGTGGGTGTCTGAGTGTGCAGCTGAAGAGAAGTTTCAGGATAAGCAGAAAGAGAGAAGGTAGTCATAGAAAACTGAAATGAACACCAAATTAGGACTGCCATTTGGAGAACCCCAAACCCACAATCTGGATAAAACATGAAAACAAAAGAAAAGCTGGGGAGGTTAGTAGATTTTATTCAGATTTGTGGGTTCTGGGAAGTGGTAAAATAACTCACTGATCTATTACCTGTCTTATTGTAAAATCTAGAAGTAAAGAGGATGATGAAAGCCTGCCATGAACCAAATGGCTATCGTGCCAGGAGGACGTACATCGACTCTGTGGCGCACACGGACCACTGTTGGAAGTGCCAGACGGCCAAGGTGGTGTTAGAATTTTGGTGGGGTCCAGATATTTTATGCTCTATGATTTCCTTGCACTTTCCAGTTAGAGAACGTTCTTCCAATTTTTAAAGAAAGGATGAAAGTAATTTTTCAACTACCCCAAGGCAGACCAGAGAAGGCCTACCAAAATCATGGACCATTTTCATCATCCTCTTGGAGTTCTAGAACAGTGTGGAAACCAGGAGAACAAGGTACCTGCTATGTGGACTGTTGACAGAGGGTCCAGGCTGTGAGGGACTACATTTGCCTCGTGGCTGTTTGCAATGAACAGGGGGTAAAGAAAGAAGAATGTTCAGTCCAGGCAAATAAAGACAAGCTATTGATGAAAATTAAAACTAAAAGTGCAGCAAAGGAAAAATAAATCAAATGAAATGATCAGTACCCATGAATTAAGGAAACTGGCTTTTCTTTGTTGAAAAAGTGAAGTGAATTTGCATTATTCTCATTTTTGAAATAAATTGTTATTTGGGAATCCACACCACAATAGGTGCATTTCTCCTCACTTTTTATGATAAAAATGCAAATGACTATGTTATCCGAGATTGTCCGTGTATTTACTTACAAGAGACATAAAATCCATGTCGTGCTCTACATTTCAAATATAGTTTACATATTTTTTCATCTTTGAGAACACCGACACAGCATTAAAATTCTTAGCATATACAAATAAAATCAGTAGTAGGAGGCTGTACTTTATAAAGTGATGAAGACCCAACCAGTTATTCAAATTTCCTGAAGGTCAACCAGTGAAATATTCAATTTCATAAAGGCTGAAGAAGACATGAAAAGCCAGTATTCCTTCACATTCGTAAACTAGGATCTATAGGACACTAGTGAATGTAGTAAAGAACAATCCTAAAAAGGATAATAACATTTATCAGCATAGAACTTAAGTTTATAAACAAACAATAAAAAACTACAAACAAAATCAATACTTCTAAAAACTAAGGAAAATGGAATGATAATAAAAATGAATATAATTATAAAGCTGGACAAAAAAGTAACAAAACAAAAAACAAGCTTCTAATTACACAGAGAAAATCGGGGTATAGAGGATAACAGGCCAAATCTGTCTCTTCCTCATTGTGTGCCAGTGAGGTAGCCCCCTACAGGCCTTGTGGGTAAGTTGTCTGAAGGTGTTGCCATTTGGGGGGGCAGGACAGTCACCGAAACCCTTCGGGAGCTGCTTGGTTGCAGCATTAGCAGAGCCTCTACTTGTCTGGTAAATGCAGGGGTCTCACAGCTGTGTCCACCCCAGGCTGAGGGACCCTGGCATGGAGCCTACATGTCTAGGCGGACTATGTTGGTGTTGGTTTGAAAGGAGGAACCATCCAAGGGGCCATTCTAGAAAAGGCCGTTGGAACAAAATAATGTCTCCTTGCAAAGCAACCACATTAAGCCCTGAGTTTCTGACAACAAAACCACTGTTTTAGTTCCTGAGTGCGTATGGGAGTGGGTGGGGCACGGAGCACGGAACAGGGCTGAGGAAACAGCACTTCACTGTGTCACTGTGTGACAGCCAGCTCTCTGCATGGGCGCCCTGTGTGGGCACAAACACTGTCACTGTCCAGCGCTCCCTCCCATGGGCCAACTGGAAAGGACCAGTAGAAAGTTACCGTTCTCTGCCTGTTTGGAGTGCTTCTCCCTGATGTCGGACTCACAGATCCTGAGGTGTCCAGTTCATCAGCCGAAGACCAGGAAGACAAATCCTATGTGAGAAAGACTCTTTTAATGATATTGTGTCCCAGAACAATGATAACTCGGTCAAACCTAAGGCAATTCCCAACTCGACCCTAACCTCTATTAAAACAAACAAACAAAAAACCAAGCCATGCCTTGAGGAAAACAATCAAGCCAAAGCTTACATGTATTAAGCTTCCCTGTTTGTAAACTTGGCTCTTCTGGAAAACAGAGCTATAACTTTGCTATTTCTGTGTCACTTGCAGCTTTATTACTTCACTGAATCACAGATGTAAGTTGAAACGAAGGAGATGAAGTTATCTGCCTGATAGTTACAAGTTGTTCGGGCTAGAGAGAAACCCATCCATTGAGTTAGAAACAAAACCGTCATCCAGGAACCTGATTTTTGGCATCGGAAATTGTCTTGTTTTCAGAATGGGCTTTTTTTTTGCAAGTTTACAGAAGGGCAAAAGTGTTCATAATAGGATTTCACAACTGAACTTGAAATCTGACCAAGCATCTCTGTTTGCACAAATGCATTTCTCAAAGCTAATAATATGACCATGATGCAGTAATTAAAAAAATCTAAAATATAATTTAGCAAAGGACATTTTCCATGAATTATTTGTTGTCTAAGTCAAGAAATTCATGTTCCTAGGATTTGAATACAAGAATTAAATGCAACAACTGGTTGTGATCAACCACAGCTGTGTAGCTAGAAACCTGACAGTTCATAAATAAACTGTGAAATAAAATGCCACAATTGTGTTGGTAATAGGGTTAGCAGTAAAAGGTCAGAGGCCTTGTAGATGTAATAGAATTTAAAGCAGTCATATTATAAAAGTTTGGTTAGCTTTGTTATTCTGAGGCAAGAATTGTATGAGTAGTTATAGAGTGCTTGCTTTATTCTGACATGTGCTTGATGCAAAGTCTTTCTAAGGTGGACAAAGGCGACTCTTCTTTGAGAGCCTGCGTGAAAGGTTCCACAGAGAGAAGACATCACTGAGCTGGTAATAGTGACGTTTCCTTGCTTCATGTCTAAGAGGAACATCGAACAGTTAACAACTCACTCACTAGAGCGTGGGTCTGGGTGAGATCGCAGCCTCCTTGTACCTCAAAGGCCAACACAAACTGAGCCACAGAGGGCAGAGAGGACACTCATATTTCACTAGATGGGGGGAAGTGGAGAGACATGTCTGGAGGCTGTGGGGTTGAGCAAGGGGCACAAACAGCTGAACAGCTAGCCCAGCCAGGACCACAAGATAGGAAAAGTGGAAGTGTGTTGGAGGCATAAACGCATGATTCGAGGTAGCTGCACAGGCCACGACCCCATAAGAGGACAAAGAGAAGGTGCCTAGACTGCACTGCCACCCCTCTGCTGCTGAGAATATGGACTCTGAGAAGGGACTCAATAATGTACATACTGCCAAGCTCTCATCCGGGATCCCAGAGAGGAAAGACATTCATGGTATGAGGCACTGAACCACATCTTTTCCAGCATTTGCAATAGTTGCTGGAAGCCTCCATGACCCTCCCCCTGATGCAACGCATGCAAATACCTCAGTCAGGAAGTCAGCAGAGGCCAAAATAATCAAATCAAAGCAAGCTGTAATGTACCTATAAAACCCCAAGGCTCTGGTAAAAAGCTCTGAGAAATAACAAAAACAGTGGTGTGGCAGATTACAAAATTAACATACAACAGTCTGCTGCATTTCCATATGCATATAATGAACTAGCAGAAAGAAAAATCAGGAAGACAATCCCATTTACAATCATGTAAAAAGTAAAGACCTTGGAATAAATTTAACCAATGAAGTGAAAGCCCTCGTCAACATAAACTGTAAGACCAGGCTGAAAGAAATAGAAAAAAAAAAAATGGAAAACTGTTTTGTGTTCATGGATTGAAAGAATTATCATTGTTAAAATGGTTATAGTACTAAAGTAATATACAGATTCAATACAACCCTTATCAAATTCCAGTGGCATTCTTCACAGGAAGAATGAAAAATCATAAATTTTTGTGGAAGCAGACCCTGTATAGCAAAAATATTCCTGAGACAATAAAACAAAAATGGAGATATCAAGTGCCATGATTTCAAGCTATACTAAAAAGTGATAGTGGAAGCAGGATGGAGAGCCAGAGGGAGATCTGAGGGAGGCACGTGGAGCAGAGAGACTTGTGAAGAGCTGCTAAAGAACGTGAACAATGAAGCCACCATTTCTTTTGGCTCTGGTGATCTGTTCTGTAGTCAGTACAAACTTGAAGATGGTGTCGAAGAGAAATTCTGAATTTATTCCTGCCCCCTCCAATAAAACATTATCATGGGACTTCCGGAAGATGGTGGCAGAGTAAAGACGCCGAGATCACCGCGTCCAAGCAGGCATAGGAATTGAGGACTGAAAACAGACTATAGACTCACTTACTACAAGTTTTAACCCAAACGAAAACACCCTGGACTCACTAGAAGGTAGATAACTGC